TGAATACCCCAGAAAAAAAGCATTTTGTCACAGGGCTAGCCCTAATATCCAAATACCAATCTGTTACCCCATCGATGTAATGGGAATTTAAATATAATATTTAAGCTTCTGAACACATTGCTGGGCATTGAGACTATCTGAATGGCAGCCTGTGGGAAGATAACTGTTTCTTTTGCTTGTCCACCATGACAAAAAAGATTTAATTCATATCTTGAGCAATGGGGAGCTATTTAAAATGAGCTCCATTAAAAAGGGGTTGTAAATTAGTTTATTTTGGTAAAAGAGGCATAGGGACCTTCCATCTGTGTTTTTAGAATCAAAGTCAAGTAAATGCATTCAGTGAATTCTAGTCACTTTTTTAGTATTTGATAGGTCAAAATTTTTGACTTCTCAAATCTGAAAGGGAAAATAACCTAGTTCCTAATTTTTCTGCTTCATGTTAGGTGGTATTTAATAGCAAACTATATTTTATAAAATATAAAAGTTCCCTCTTATCTACAGAAAGCAAAAAACAAAAGCCTGAAGCTACTAGTGCTTGGGAGAATATGTGTGAGCCAAATTCAGGGGAGAAGTGGAAAGAACTTTTAAGGCAGTTTTTAAGCTTCTATTTTAGGAGTTTATCAACAGCTTGCAGCATCTATGCAAGTAAAATGATCTGACTTTGGAACAGAAATTTAAAAAAATCAAGTAACATGTATAGATATGCCCAACACAAAGAAGAAAAAAAAAAAAAGAAAGGTCAAGGGCATATGTGGATTTTTTTTATCCTGCTTGTCTAGCTACACAGTTGCATGAAAAATGTTCCAGAAATTCTATCGTGGATTTTCTAATGAGTTGCTGCTAGTTGTGAGGTTGAGACTAGAGGCAGTAGACTCGGGAAAAGCAGAAGTTGTTCATTATACAGTTTGTACCGAAGCCAATTAAGTGCTGCATGCCCTAAAGAAATCTTGGAGAGACTCCCTGCCTAACTTAGAACTCAGGAAACGTGCTCGAATATTGTATAAAAAGAGGAAGTACATTGACTCCCAGATGTGCAGCTTTCTAGCTGGGTCATCTTGAGCAATGCACTTAACTTGAGTAGGCATCACTATATTCTCATTTTACAGATAAGAACGTCAGAAACTTCCCTGCGGCTCAAGGAGTGACTCAACTGGTGCCTGTTATTTTATTGAAGTGTGTTTGACCTGCAGATGTCTGTGTAAGAAGGATATTCTGAAAACATGTTTAACATCGGTATCCTAAGTATCTCTTGTAGGGTCCTGGCAGGAATGGCATGATTGAGGAGCATTTAATGAAGGAAATATTGACCAAAGTATAGAGAGGCTAAGATTGTGAATCAAGTGAAATACCCTGGGATTAACAACTGCAGTACCAACATCACCCCTAGGCCTAAAGGAGTAAGGGATGGTATAGGTACTGGATATTAGAGGTTTGTTCTAGCAATACTCCATGATAATAAACATAGAATGTCTACTCTTGTGATGGAGGTGTTTGAGGCATCTTACCTACTCCACAATTATAATCTCTTAGACTAATATATGTTGATTGATTCTAATACAAAGTGGGAAAATAGAGTTATTTGAGGCAATGCACAACGGTCACCTTCCCACACCAAGAGCAGGTGGAGAATGGGGGACAGTGGATCTGGAGGAGGAGTTGGAGAATATTCATCACCCTAACTTCCATCCAGATTAACACGAACTAAATTCTGATGGGAAAGTCAAGCGGGAAAGATAAACAGCAGAGTTGGGTAGCAGCTGAGTGCTTGCAAAGAGCTTTGCATGCATGATCTCACGTGATCTTAGGAGTACCCATGATGAGAGGCTGATTATTATTTCCATTTGAGTACTGAGCCCTGATGGGTTGAATAAATTATTCATGGTCAGTTACAGAGTTAGTGAGTGTAAGAATAAGATGAGACACCAAACTTGAGTGATATCAGTATGATGGAGTATTTATCTGGCACTTGGACCATGTCCATTACAGTCTTGGGTAGTATGAAATTGTATGTCTGTATGGTGAGGGCAAAGATTTTCTGTAATGACCTAAGACTCCCACAGTTCTTGTTTCATTATAAGTCTCTACAGCATGATATTTCACTCAGATTCTGATACAACACACAGAGATACTACACATACAAATAAATGTTTCTCAGATATGCTACTTTTATTTAGTTCTCAAAACTAGTTCAATTCAAGTGTCTGGGAGCATCACAGTCTTTTTAAAAAAAATTTATACTTAACACATGCTTTCACTATATCTATCATTATACACACACACACATATGCATGATAAATATACACACATATACATTCATCCATACATACACATATGTGAGAATATTACATACCAACTTTCTCTGTCTCTGAAAATTTCTTCCACTCAAGCTGACAGAATTTACATGTAAACCTCAACTCATTAATTTATTTGAAAAAGTTGCAGCCTTCTTTGAGGATGTATATCCATTTTCTCTGACAGAAGTTCTGTGTCTAATTCCAAAGTCCACTGGATGTTTTTAATTTATGTCAACCTTAGAACGTCGTGATACCTAAACTTTTAAGTATTCATGTGAATATCACTGGAGTAAAACAATTCTCTAACTGTTCCTTCCAGAATTGGATCTATTCTGGGTGATGAAAAATACCTCAATATCCAAAGGGGATGGATTCCTGTCTCCCCTGTCTCATCAAAACCTGTGGATGCTTAAGTCTTATCTAAAATCAGATAGTTCTTGTGCATGAACTATACATATCCTATCATAAGCTTTAATTCATCTCCAGGCTAGTTATAATGGTTTAAATAATGTAGATTCTATGTTGATTTATTGTATTGCATTGTCTAGGGAATAACAAAGAGAAATCTGTGTCGTTCATTGCAAACACAACTATTGCAGATCCAAATACATGGTGCCCATTTTAGACCTTCAGTTGCTTGAATTCCTTCCTGGGGACTATAGTTAGGGAGTATCAACTGTGTTCCCTTAGCAGAGGACTCATATTGGCATCTTATCTTGCTAATAATGAGGCTTTCCTTTTTTTGTGCTTGCTGGCTTTTCTCATGTGCTTACTTTCCCCTCAACAGTGTTTCATAGTGGTGCAAATCTGTGAGTGTTCTATTTTTACTTGTCTTCTGTTTTTGCTTATAACCATGTAAGTACGATCTTTTGAGTTATGAATAAGTCTCTATTAAGTTTTATGATAAAATCCTAAAGCAAGCCATTGTATTGAAAAATACTTTTATGTTACCATTGGTATTTCCAATTAACAGGGTTATCCAACTAAGTGCTCTCTCAATGGGAAGCTCTGATCCAAAAATGGTTTCAAGTTCTCATAGAGTGCGTAAGAACTTTTCCTTCCTGAATGGATTGGATTTTCCTGGGCATTCCTGCATCACACCTGCTATTCAAGTGATTCAGGGATGTGAACTTGCAAACCTTTTACAGATAGATGGTTGAATTAGAGTATATGGGTCCAAAAATGAGGATTGGCCATTCAGAATGGCCAAGCAAAGGGTTCATCTTCAATTTGAACTGAACAATGAAAACATCCTGGGATGAGAAGTGAGCAGGAATTGATCTATTTTTTTTTTATGCACAAGAATATTTTTGTTTTGGTATTGTTGCTTATCTATTTCTTATATAGAGGCAACATTGGTTTATATTGTATTAATCCTAGAAGTTTTCTTTTACTTGGGTCAGAGATGTAACAGTTACATTTTTTTTTTAACAGTCTTTTAGAAATATCAAGTTGGGACAGCTGAGAATATAGAGTTTATTAAAAATGCAAGATTCAGAAAAATAGAGTATCATCATAATAAAATATCTGATAGTTGTTTGAAGTGAAAATCTTAAGGGGATACCATATTCATGCTAGCGAAATGCCTGTTAACTCATTGTACATTCATAAATGAACATTTATGCAGCTATAGGGAACATATTGTAGAATTGCACCTATGCTATCAAGAAAGGATCTCAAAGATATCCATTGTGTGAGATAAGAACATCCTAGAAAAAAGCTTTTATAATGATTATTTTGTTGTTGAATTTCATACACTTCGTTCATACACATTTTGAGTGGCTTGGGAAATATGCACTCCTAATGTTATTAATATTTGTCTATGAAAAGAGGGATGAGAATAGGGAAAGGATTAAAAGTAGGTTTCCAAAATAACTTCAGCATTATTTAAACAAATTTTTAGATCTTTAACAAGAATATTAAGTTACTAGTGAACCAAAGAAATAAAAATTTTGAAAATAGAGTAACACATAGAACATTGACATTCTAGCACTAAAAATCTCATATTATTTTGTATGGTCTTATGTTTTTTCCCTCTTTTTCTGTATCTTCCCATTTTTCTAAAATACTTATTACATTTACAGTAGAGAAAATATCACTAAATAATTAAAGTACAATGTAGTTGAACAGTAACTCAGCATTTAGGCACTTGCCCATATTAATTCTGATTGGTGTTTTATTCATCTGAGTTGATCCTAATAATGCATTTATTTCTTTCCTCTAATGTATTTGTGAACTTCAGAATAATATGTCTTTGACCTTAGTGCCTTCTAGCTATTTCTGTATTTACTCCTCTTGGTGGGGAATTGGACTAGGTGATAAATTGTAGGATTCTTTCACTTCCAGGGTTTTCCTGGGTAGAGGCAGCTGTGTTATGATTTATTCTTTAATTTGCTAGGTAAGAGTATGCCATTCAGTTTACTTTCCAGTGTATATTATTGCCTGTTCATTTGATACATGATAAAAAGTAATTTTGCAGCTGATCAGTAAATGTCTATAACTAAAATCTTTCTCAGAGTTGGCATCACAGATACACACTAGTTAAATGTCAAAGGAAAACAGAAAATTATCTGAGTGGAGACATGTTGTGTGTACATGGTGTGTGTGTGTGTGTGTGTGTGTGTGTGCTTGTGATTCACCTATTATTGCTGAAAGAGCTATCGGCCTGAAATTCTTTCTCCCATTTTTTCCACTTCTCTCCCTCAGCAATTATAAAAACTGCCCTCCCGAACATGGACAGAGAAGCCAAGGAGGAGTACCTGGTTGTTATCCAAGCCAAAGATATGGGCGGCCACTCTGGCGGCCTGTCTGGGACCACGACACTCACCGTGACCCTGACCGACGTGAATGACAATCCTCCCAAATTTGCCCAGAGTAAGTGAATGTACTACTCTGGCTGATGATCTACTGTGATGCTGCCATTTGAATTTATATTCTAGGTTTCATTACCATCCAAAAGCTTGATCATAATCATTGATTATGTGCCTGGTTTGCACAGAGTGTGGTGCCGTGATGCATATATAAACACACACACGCCAAAAAAAAAAAAAAAAAAAAAAAAAACAGCCTGCCTGTCATTTTAGTACTTAAATATCTCCATTTCACAGATTTCCAAGAAATTGAGGAAATTTTCAAATATCAAGCTTTCAGTTAATGGCTGGAGTTGAGAATGAGCTTGCCTGACTGCCAGTCATATGCCGATATCTCTCTTCCACAGTACCTCCCATTAAGAAAACTTGAGACAATGATTAAAATGCAATGCAGACATTGCTCTGTCCATTACCACATTTGGTGGATAAAAGAAACTAGATTTTCTGTGCCTGAAGGGCAGATAGGCAGCACACTTACTGCAAAACATGTGTTCCTCCCTCCTGGTTGGGCAGAAAGAGAGGGACATCAGAGCTCACTGATCCCCAGTCCTTCCTGAAGCCCTTGCTCCTCCTCAGAACGTTCTAAACAGAGTTCTCACAGTCACTATTAGTGAGTTAGGGGGTCAGTCATTCATTGTCAACTTCCTTGTACTCTTAGAGAACACTCATCTGCTTGGTATCTGCCATACTGTCTGAGTAATCTGATATTGAAAGCTGATTTGGGGAAGTCTTTTTGATATGGCACCTCCTGAATGGAGATGAATGAGGAGTGGGAATTAGCTGGAACAAGGTGAAACATTGTGACTGGAAGGAAAGGTATTCCAAAAGAGGAACCAACCCAAAATGGGAAATGAAGGGATTTCATGACAACTGAAGCATAAGGTTTGGGGAGTCCATTGAGGGATACCTTAGCCATCCTTGGATTTTTAGTACCATGGTCTTTATCTTAAAATCTCTGGGTAGCCATTAAAGGATTTTAATTGTAGGTTAAGTGGTAGGAGTGAAACTTGGTCTTTTCCCAGGGACATTTCCATATGGCAGTCAGCCTGGGGGTATTCCCCATCATTGATGTGAAAGGGGAACATAATCCCACCAAGCAGGGTGGTTGTCATACAAGTGGAGAGAAATGATTAAGAAGATGTGGTACATATACTCATGGAATATTACTCCACAATCAAAAAGATAAATTTGTGCCTTTTGCAGCAACATGGATGTAACTGGAAGGGATCATGCTTAGTGAAATAAGCCAGAAAGAAAAGGAAAAATATCAGATGGTTTCACTCATAGTGTAAAGGATCAGGAAAGAAAAAAAAAAGAGCAATTGTAATAAAGTAAAAATGAAAAAAAACACTCAACCACTATAAACCAGAGACATTTTACAGGGGTGAGGAGGGGAACAGGATCACAGGATCAAAACTGAGGTGGGAAGAGTGCACAGGACTGTGGTGATGCACGTGGGTGAATTGGTGGTGGGAAGTCCACGGGGATTACAACTGAAATTAAAAAAAATGCACAAAATGAAGAATGATGTAAAAAATACATATATTTAAAAAAAAAAAAAAACGTGAAGAGAAGTGTACAGATGTAATAGACATCCAGGAGCAGGAGTAAGCAGTGGAAAAAATCAAAGGCTAGATTCCATTGTTCAGCTAAGGAGTGAGTTGTCAGATTTCTGACATGAAAAACTGGATACACACAGTGAGATTTGCTGGAATAGGAAATACCACAGGGCAACTGGCTTTAAAAAAAGAAAGAAAAAAAAGAGAAGGGTGGGGGGTGGAGAGGAAGGAGAGGATGAGGAGGAGAGAAAAGAAGGAGAGAGAAGAGAAGGGGAAAGGGGAGGGAGAGAGATGGGGCTTGAAAATGACGCATTTGAAGTACCTTTGAGGTTTCATCTACAGAAATATCAAGGAAGAAGGAATAGAAAAGATGAATTTTTCACCTCTGGCCATTCATACATCAGATAACAATGCACTTCATTATATATAAAATTATTGAAATGGGGAAATACCACTTCTCTCATCTTTTTCACAACTTTTATATTTTCTTTTTATTAGAATTCTAATTAATGCTCTAATATGCATCTCATCTTTATCAGAAGATAATTGTTTCAGTTCACCAGTGGCAGATGAGTTTCAAAAGTGTTCCCTTTCTTAGAGGTAATAGCTGTTAACTATTGTCACCATGATAGAGGTGATGAGTGAGCCAAATAGGAATGAATAGAGCCATGTTCTATTTATTTGGTTTCCCACAGCTCCTTGATTCAGGGTGGGAAGCAAGGTGAGTGCTTTTGCTGGCTTATTTACTTAATAGGCATGCCTCAAGGAATCCTCAAAGCTTCCCTGGAATGAAAAGTTTGAAGAGAATGCAATCATTACACCAGTTATGAGAGAACTGGGAGACTTGCATTCTACATAATGATTTTCAGTGCCTACCTTCTGGCAAACCTATTCAGAATTAGTTTTTGTTCCCCAACAACATAGCTTCATGATTCTAAGAAATTATTTTTTTTTTATTGAAGTACCATGGGTTTACAATGTTGTTTGTATTTGGGGGGCTCTAGAATCCCTCCCTTCCAGTGTTATTACTGTAATGCTCCCATCAACAAAGGGAACATTTTTGAAACTCATCTGCCACTGGTGAATTGAAAGATTCATTTTCTGATAAAGAAGACATACATATCAGAGCATTAACTATCATTTTAACTAAAAAGAAAATACAAGAGTTGGGGGAAAAGATGAGAAATGGTATTCCCCATTTCAATAATTTTATATAAAATGAAGTGCATTGTTGTCTGCTGTGTGAATTATGTGAAATTCTAAATGAAAATCCATCTTTTCTATTCTCTTCAAGGCACCCCCAGTCCACCACTATCTTCCACTATGCTCCCTCCCCACTTTGTTTTTGCCCCTCCCCCTCACATACCCCCTCTAAATACCTCAGTTCTATAGTCAGCTTCCAAGAGTTTTGAGTTTGGCTTTATCGAACCCTTTGTTTGGTTCCCTCTATATTCCACATATAAGTGACACCATCTGATATTTGTAGAAGTCAATTTTATTTCATCATTAAAGAAAAGTGTATTAGTAATAGAAGAACTCTTTGTCCATCACCTGAAGTAATCTTGTTATATTGGGTAAAATGAGCTGTAGTTTATCTAAGGGGCTCAGTGGCTGAGTTCAAACTACAATTGGATAATGTTCTTCAGATTTAATTTTTTCCTTTTGAGTTTATAGTCCACTGAATTTTTTCCCATTGTTTTTGTTGCAATGGGACTAAGCCTCCTGGTTGTCTGACTTTGGCTCCCCAGAAACATGCACTGACTGAGAAATGAATTTGATTGTAAGTCGTTTATCTTGGAGATGGACCCAAGGAATCCCTACAGGGAAGTGAGGGTGTGAGAGAGAAGAAAAGAGAGCCAGTAATGTGTATTATCAAGATAGCTATGACTGGGGGGAAATTCTGGAATACTGTAAATAAACAACACAAAAGAACTAATGCAATGCCATTCTACTAAAAGAGGAAGGAGCCTGGAACTCCATATACTAACTCCTTGAGTCTTTGAGGTCTACTTCTGTGGGGTCATTTATTTTCCCATAGTTCTGACAGGCAGTGGGCAAACTGGGATCTGGGGCAGAGAAACCCTCAGGCAGATAAAGGCAGGAATTTTCAGTCAATCTTAGGGTAGGTGTACCCTGAAAAAATAAGGCCAGGATAATGGCTGGGGTATCAATAACTTCTCCTATACCAGTGAAAGTGAGTGACATCAATGCAAGTAGGCTTTGTGAATAACAATGGGACGGATGTCATTAATTAGACTCATTTTACTGCCCCCATGGGAGAACGGGCATGCACTATAATGGTATTTTGCCTAGTGAGTTTTGAAGGTAGGATTGTGGTCTTCAGAGCATTGAGGGCTTTAGTAACAAGAGGAGTGTTTCATGTGTCTGAACAGCTTGCTGCAGGGCACAGCAGAAGCTTAGTAATTGGATTTTATCAGAAATGGTCTACAAGTCTGTAAATATAAAGGTAACTTCAAATGGGACTTTCAGTATGTTACACATTGCATCTTTCTGTGCTGAAATTAGCTTAATATTTTATGTTGGGCAACAATGAATATCCCCATAGGCAGCCAATGTGATTATATAGCAAATTGGAAAGAACATTCTTATGGGCTCGCAGATACCGATATAACTGCTCCAGATTTATACATGGTAAACATATGGTTGAATAAGTTGTATAGTCTTGAAGAGAGATCACTACTTCTGGGAACTATTTGTCTCTGACTCATTAAAAAAAAATGTATATTCTACATTAAAAAGAGGCATTTTTATCTTTCCCATCACTGTGTTGGTAGCATCTACAGGAAAGCTCAGAATGAGGAAGGGACTCTGGGTGCTCTGGTGAGTTCTCCTGAGGAGAAAAAACCTCTACTGTCAACATGTTAGCATGCAGCAGAATTCTGTTCCACTGGGGAAAAAATGGAATCAAAAAATATATATGTAAAAGAAAGCAAAGAACAAAAAGGTTTCTATCCAAAAGGAATGATGAGCAATTTAAATTTGACACTTTAAAAATAAAGTGTCCAGTAAATAGTCGCTAATTGAATTCATGGCAGATGTGTGATGCTCAGGTGTCTCCTCTCTTCGAAGGTCTGTATCACTTCTCAGTACCAGAGGACGTGGTTCTTGGCACTGCCATAGGGAAGGTGAAGGCCAATGACCAGGACATTGGTGAAAATGCACAGTCATCATATGACATCATTGATGGAGATGGAACAGCTCTCTTCGAGATCACTTCTGACGCCCAGGCCCAGGATGGCATTATAAGACTAAGAAAGGTAAATGAAAGGAGATGATGAACTTGAGTTTTGAAGTTTGTGGGAGTTGGGTGATCTCCTTGACATAATCTTGATGCTGGTAGAGATTTAGCTTCTTTCTTTATTTTTGTATAGCACTGGGTTGTAGGCCAGAGGTGTGAGGGTTGAGAGGATTCACCAGAGACAAAGTGAGGAGCAGAACAAGCAGATTGACTGAAACACTGCTGAGGGGAGCAGTGGTTGAGACTGGAGAGTTCTACTGCGCCATGTGAGTCAGCAATTTGTCCAGGATCAAGCTCGTGCTGCAGTGATAGTGCTGAGACTTAACCCTTAGCTTAGAGGAAGGCCCGGTTTAGCTTCTTTAGTCTTGAAAAAATACAACCCTTCTTATACCTCATACTCCTGACCCACTTCCCATTTCAGCAAAGCCCAGTAAACCCTTCCCATGGTGGTATAAGCCTCCCATCTCATTCATTAGTTTTCTCTGGGTCTGTCTTGGTGCTCTTTCCTAATCCACACAAAGTTGCTTCATTCCTGTATTGCACACTCCAGCTATCTGAAGGCAGCCCTCAAACAGTAAGGGACAGAGACTGAAGAACAACTCCTGTTCTTTGCAGACATTATTCTGAAGTGTAGTGTCCAGTTCATAAGAAGATTCCCAGTGAGGAGACGCCATAGTTGCTCACAGAGTGGCAAATCTTATGTATTTAATCCTCCTCTATGTCACTCTCCTCATTTCTGCGCTCTTGCCTCAGGGGAATATCTCCACAAAATAGGTTGAAAATCCTTAATTCTTTATTGTAGACTTTCAGGGAAACTCAAGGACAGGGCAGTAGCTTCCATTTTCTGGCTAGTTACGGCACAGGGAAGAAAAGATCAGCCCAGCTACCGTGAGGTGCTCCAGACTATGTGTCAGAAGTCCAGCAATGATAGTAAATGATGACTTTGCCTCACTCCTGGATGTGGAGCTAGCACTGGAGAAAGAAACATCTCCATCAATTGCTGATATTTGCCACTCCTTTTGCCAGAAACCACTTTGTTGCTGTTGTGTGTATAGGGGGTGGTAAATATCTACACAATATTTGCTATATTTCTCAACATGTCTTCAACAATATTTTGTTCAATATTGTTCTCCGTGAACAATAGTCATGAAGTAGTACAGATTAATTTTGAGGTTACTTAAGTTGTGCATATTGAAGAAGAAAGATAGCAGGCCATGCTCTTGGGAGCTGCTCTCTTCTCTTGCTGCCCCGACCAGTGTGACTTGGCACGACTCTAACCTTCTGTCTGATTCTCGAGATCCCACGTGACAAAGGCATGTGCCTTCAATGGTCGTGTTCTTAAACCCCCAAGAGAGGTGTCAAAAAGGGGAGCCCGGGATTTTCTGGACATATTTTTATATGCCTGTTAAATCTCAAAAACCTAATTTGGAGAGTCTGCATTGATTTTAAAAAATGGTTGAGCAGTACTACCTTTAATACCTGGCTCAAATTTAGGATTAAGAGTTGCAAAGTATTTAAAAACTCATGCCTGAAATAGAGGACAGTATAATTATACTTGAGTCAATTACTGCATAACCCAGAGCTAGTTTCCTTGGTTAATGATTCCTAATGTCATTTTTATTGTTATTATTAACTGCTATTCGTTGTTACCATAAGGTGCTTTTATAAGCTGGAGCAGTTAGCGATTTGCTGTATTTTTATTCACTGTTACTCATAAACTTGAAATCATGTACCACTCATGTTGACATCAAGAAGCACTGTATTTTAACTCCTGAGAATAATGTATTGGGAGTCAGATTTGCACAGCTCATGGGTTCTCTTAACTTCTTTCTCACAAAATACCAAGGGCACCAGGATATTTAAGTATTTAATGTTGAGCTAAAAATTAAGCAGAGCGTCATCTGTTATACTCACCAGTGTATGAAGAATTTGAAATGACAAAATTGTTACAGTAGGGGTGATTGGCAAATTGTGAAAGTGCTGATGTCGAATGATCTATTCATGAGTAGTAATTTCAGGATAGACAAGGAAGTGAGTATCTGCCTTGTTTACTAGAAAATATTTTTAAAAAAGCAAGCTCTAGTCAAAATGGATTTGACTATAAAAATCAGCACAAAAATCAGAAATAAAAATATATATTTAAGCATGTACAGGAGTTCTGAAAGAGTTCACTAATGCCAACTTGTGTTCCAGCTTATTTTTTTTCCAATCTGCATTGCAGATTGAAAGTTCTCTTTCTTATAAGAAATTGCAATGCAAATCTAACTTGTCTCTTTGAGCCTGGCAGACCTGCATCCCTTGAATCTGGAATATTCTGAGTTGCTGAGCATTAGACAGTAAAGATTCTGATGTAGACGAGCCTCTGGTTATTTAAAAGGGGGGTGTGCTCTTGTATATAATTCTGCCTACCAAGGTATTAACTAGAGTCTCTGGGATTTTTTTTTTCAAAGATTTTACTTATTTGTACATACAGAACTGGGGTACAGGCCAGAGGCTCAGGGGCAGCGAGAGGCCTCACCAGAGACAGAGTGGGGAACAGGACAGGCAGATCGACGAACTACACTGCTGAGGGGAGCAGCGGGCGGGTCAGGAGAGGTCTGCCACTCCATGTGGTCACCTCCGTAGTACGCAGGAATCGAACTCATGCAGAAGCGGCTTTTAGATTCTCAGTGCTGTGCTTTAACCCGCTGCATCACCAGGGAGGGCCGTCTCTGAGATTTTTAAGAAAAGAAGGATTACTTTGTAGAAACATTGTTCGTAATGGTGCTATGAGGTAATTTCCACTTGCTTTTAAGTGGTTGGTGGAAACACTGTCCGTTTTAGTTCTCGTTCTTCTTTCTAAGTAGAAACACGAGTAGACAGACCCTCCAGCTTCACAGCACATAGCTTGTAACAGAGGCCTTCTAGGAATGCCCTTAAAAATCATAAACCCCATATTTGCCACATGATCAGTAGAGCAGCAATGTTCTGGAAGCGAAATAAGAAAACACTCTTTGTTGGGATTAGTGCTAAATTATGCTTCATTATGTCTCCTTGGACTAAACAATGATTATTTCTAGTTCTTTACATTTCACACACTGTTGCAGAAATGATAAAATATTCTTCCCAGCTAGAGATTGTGCTCGATGTTGCCTTATCTCCTACCAGCAGAGACCGATTAACTGGCTGATTGGTATGCAGGTCATGCCATCACTAGTAAAATTTTATTATGACTCTGAAGTGAAATTTTGATGGCACAATTCATGACTGTGAATATTTTGTGAATTCCGAGTGAAATGAGCAAAACAAAACAAAACAATAGGAGATTAGATTCACTGAGCTTGTATAATAAACAGATATCAATAAATGCCTGTAAAATTTACAGGTTGAATCTAGAGGACTGGAGAGTGATCCCATTAAGGCTCACGAATGGGCTTGATTGCACATAACTATCATCCATCAGCATTACACTCATTTGTTCTTGCTGCTGTGGTCATTAGTGAGAAACATTCATCTTTGTCATTTCTTAACAGCCTCTGGACTTTGAGACCAAAAAATCCTATACACTGAAAGTAGAGGCCACCAATGTCCACATTGACCCACGTTTCAGTGCCAGGGGACCCTTTAAAGATACGGCAACTGTTAAAATTGTTGTTGAAGATGCTGATGAACCTCCTGTCTTCTCTTCACCAACTTACCTCCTTGAAGTTCATGAAAATGCTGCTCTCAACTCCGTGATCGGACAAGTGACTGCTCGTGACCCGGATATCACTTCCAGTCCTATAAGGTATTGCTCTTTTAAAAGTAATTCTGGCTGCATCCGATGGCAAGCAAATCAATTCCAAATGCTATTCTGTGTATTTTCTGTGTGGCTGCCTTTGGGAGTATGCTCACGTGACCCAGGCATTTTGGTCAAAGGTACTTTGTGTGTGGATGTGTGTGTGTTTGTTTGTGTATGAGATGTATGTGTCTATGCACACTTAACTGCTAACAGCTATGAGCAGTGTCCAAAGCCAGGGCATAAAATTATTTCAGCTTTCAGATTGCTCCCCAAAATGCAAAATTGCAAATGTTTTACAGTACATTTGAGTGGATCTTTTATATTCTTTTGCATGTTTGTTTTTTATTTCTTTTTTGCATTTGGAAAGTTTGCTACCTTGTCTTTTTTCCTCGGGTAATCACAGGGAATTACATATAGGCATTTTGAGGCACGAGGCCACTGTCTCAATGCATTAAGAGGTGCCTATCTTATTTTTGTATTTGGCTGTGAAATTATCTCCTGATGATGACCATTTATGATGGGTCAGCATATCTGGATTGGTAACTTTTAGACCAAATCTTTCTCTGCCATTTCAAAGATACATTTTGTTTATGCTTTCGCCATTCAGAATTTTCTACCTGAGACGAGAAATAATCCTTTATAAAAGTTTGTCTGCCTTTTTTCTTTTTTAGAAGAGACTCGATTCTGGTTTTTTTGCTTTTGAACTGTATACATCTTTTCTCTTTTGCTGGTCACCCAAATGACAGCCTAGGAACTCAAGCTAAATAGCTTTCTTCCAAAAAATAAATAAATAAATAACACTGAAAATCTATAACTTGCACACTGGTCTCCAAGGGTGAAGTGTTAGCTAATGATGTGTTTGAGTGTGGATTTCAAATATTGGCTTAGAAGTGTTTGTTGGAAAAAAAAAAAAAAAAAGGAGAGACAAGAAAGCTAGATACAGGAATACAGATTTAGAGAACTAACTAGTTAATCTAAAAGTTACAGGTCATCCCATACCTACCTCATTTCATTTGTAAATCAATAGGTATATTGGGTGTCTACTTATTTTATTCTCATAAACCCTAGACAATGAGCTTTGTGGAGGTTTTGTTTTTTTTATTATATTTAGTGTGTCAAATTCTTATTACTGATGGGATGCTGAAACTCTATGACCGGAAATAAAACCAGGCAGAACAGTTATTAACCACCCTCTACCCCCACAAATAATTTAGGCAAATAATTGAGTTTAGGCAAATAATTGAGTTTAGGCAAAAAAAAAAAAAGTATTATTTTCGAATCCAGAGAATTTTTTTAGCAGAGGCATTTCTAAATTCAGGATTATAGAGTATGTATTGGACAGCCTACAAAATAACTTTCTTTCACAAGCCTCAACCCCTAAAAAGGTAAAACTCCCCCAGGGATTTTCTCAGTTCTAAAGAATTTCAAGAAAACAAAGAAATACAGAGTGTTCTGCATCTGGCCAATAGAGTTGTCTCTGTTACAGGGAAAATTATCAAATATGAGGATACAAAGCAGGAAATGTCCTGAGCTATACATTCTCAGGGGTGGTCATTTCCTGACTTCATGGGTAACTGAGTAGTTCAATGACCACTTTCCTCATGTCTCCAGAATGTGAACCGGTCCCACTCCTGGGACCAAGTTTCACACTGATGTGCCAAGATTTCCACTGTTGTAAGCAAGGAAGACAGAAGTGGTCTGTCTTTGGCTCTGGAGTACCTCACACTAATGGCACTTAGTGAATGTGGGAACTCACGCACAGGACAGTGATGTATGAACTCCAGACATCTAATCCAAACAGTGGGTATAGACGTCCCATGCAGAGAGATGTCCTTTTTTTTTTTTAATTTTTACTCATTTTTTTGTACAGTATTTCACTTATTTCCTCAAGTGGAATCCCCATAAAACTCGCACTACCAGGTTACCCATAAACTGTCACCATAGACTCTTATGTGTTTATCTCCCCTATTTTGACCCTTCTCGCTCCCCCTCTCCTGCTATATGTCTTGGACTTATAATTTGCCTGCTAGCTTTATCTTTTTTTTTTTCCCCCTTATCCCTTACTTGGAATCCTCTGCATTCCTCCTATAAGTGAAACCATCCAGTACTTTTCTTTTTCCTTCTGACTTATTTCTCTAAGCATAATTCCTTTCAGTTCCTTCCATGTTGCTGCAGATGGCATGACTTTACATTTTTATTGCTGAGTAATATTCCATTGTGAATATCGACTCCATCTTCTTGATCCAGTCATGTGTTTTGGGCATTTAGGCTGTTTCCATATCCTGGCTATTATAAATAGTCCTGCAATAAGCATAGGGGTACTGAAGTACTTGTTTCCTTTCAAATTAATGTTTTTGTGTCCTTTGGGTAGTTTCTTAGGAGTAGAATCACTGGGTCACAGGGTAGTAACTTGAGGGTCCTCCACACAGCTTTCCATAATGATTAGATCAGTTTGCATTCCCACCAGCAGTGGAAGAGGCTTCTTTTTCTTTTCTTTTTTTCAATGTGAGATGTTATCTCATTGTGATTTTGATGTGCATTTCCCTGATTATAAGTGATATTGAACATTTTTTCATATAACTGTTGGCCATTTGCATTTCCTCTTTGGATAAGCGTCTTTTTAGCTCATCCCATTTTCTGACTGGGTTGTTTATTTTTGTTGCATCATGCAAGCTCTTTGTAGATTTTTGAAATCAGTTCCCTATCAGTTGAATGGAGTACAAATATTTTCTTCCAATCATTAGGGTGTCTCTTTGTTTTGGTTATTTTTCTTTTGCTACACAAAGCTTTTTAGTTACATGTAGTTTCAGCTATTGCATGAGATATATTCTTAATCAACTGGAGATGATCTTTGAGGAATTTTCCTTGAAAATTCATATTGGCCAACAAACTGGGCAAAAAGTCCAGCTTCATAGGCCCCTGCATTTTTGTCCTTCTTCTTATCTACCCATTTACAGATGTACAAATGGAGATTTACTGACAATAATTCAAGCTCACAGGACATCAGTGATGACAATCTTTATAGTTGATGTTACTGTTACCACTATGGTTCATTCTCCCCACTAAGGTGAAAGGCAGGTGTAGAGAAAAGCTTGAATCTGCTTGGCAAGGACTAGCCAACCGGAAGCATTTTGTTTTCAGGCAAGGTGAGGGGGATCTCTGACTGTATCGCCAGATAGAGATGGACAGATGAAGTAACCCTCAATGACATGGACATGCCTGTACTTCTGATAGATATTGGGCAATGCTTTGGCATCTATGCTTTGGCATCTATAGCACAGAAGGGTTGAATATTGTTTGAAAGCTTTTACAACTGGGCTTGGCACTTTTAATCAGAAGCCAGCCCCACACGGGTCTGACTGGAGGTATATGGCTCCATGGGATAAGAGTGTAAGAATCACCGCTGCATTTTTCTGCATCTGTTCCGCATTTCTGCAGTAGTTTTTAACTACACACACACACACACACACACACACACACACACACACACACACACCATTGGGTTACAGAGAACAGCTTTTATCCTTCTATGCACAATTGGTTAATTTGAGTAGGAAATTAAATTACCTGACTAGCCAGAGTAATGCATAGTTCCTTATGAGTCTAGCAGACAGATTTAGTACCATTTAACCTTTTTAAACAGAACTAGAGGACAGGGATATTCAGGGAATTACCAAGTAACAAATGGCTACACATTGTTGTTACTTGAGATCTTTTGCTTTTCTAGGCTGACAAGAATGTACCATCTTTTAGGGGAATGTTTATTTGTCACCCAGCAAGTAAGAGGCATTGATGGTGGCATCTGCCACATTCAAACTTGCTCTCATCTATTGACTGGTCAGTGCGCACATCCCAGCCTCTATTTAGAATATCACCCTGTCAAACTGAAACATTATTTATTTTAAAATTCTTATGTTTATGTCTTTATCTAACCTGTATGTCTGCCTCTAACTTCTCTTCCAAGAGAAAATACACAGTAATTAAAGAAAATATTCATCGTCTCCCTCTTTCTTTTTCTTTCCCTTCCAGGAACATTAATTAAGCATTTGTTAATTTATTTACTACTACATGTAATATATATGTGTGTGTGCGTGTGTGTGTGTGTGTGTGTAACACATATGCCTATTGTGTGTGTGTGTATATATATGTATACATACAGAGCACACATATTTATAACATAGATGTGCATATAGAGAACAAACATGCATTTTTTAAAATGGGCATATTTTATTGCATATAATCTTTTTGGTGTAATAAAATTGTGGTGCAAATCACAGGTGCAGAGGGTAAGAGAACTCACCAGAGAAAGTGGGGAGTAGAACAGGCAGATCGACTGAAATACACTGCTGACGGAAGCAGTGGGTGAGACAAGAAAGGTGTGCTGCACCACGTGGGTCACCTCCCTGGCCGGGGATTAAACTCAAGCTCTCGAGGTGGCAGTGCTGAGTAAAGTGTAAAGTTTATTTAAGATTATGTTTTGAACAGACCAAAGCTCAAACCCTTTCACTGTTACTCCCACTCAGGCAGCTTGATCCTAGAATTCTGAGACTGTTACCCCATTTATAAAATGGGATAGTAACAACTTCCTCACAAGGCTAGGAGATAACGAGATGAAGTTATTAATTAAAAATGTGGCAATGTTAGCATTAATAAAAACAGTTAATGAAAGGTAAGTCAGCGGCCTTATCTTCCTTCAAATGGAAATTAAAAACCTCCTATTGGGCCCTCCCTGGTGGCACAGTGGGTTAAAGCGCAGCACTAAGAAACTTAAGTCAATTCCGCATGAGTTCGATCCCCACCTGCCCCGGAGGAGATCCACATGGCATGGCGACCTCTGCTGACCCGCCTGCTGCTCCCCTCAGCAGTTTACTTCATTGATCTGCCTGTTCTGCTCCCCACTCTGTTCCTGGTGAATCCTCTCACCCTCCGCATCTCTGGCCTGTACACCAGTTCTGTATGAATGAATAAATAAATCTTAAAAAAAAAAAAAAAAAAAAAACCTCCCA